TTACCACATATAGGGTTTAGTACCAAACATATGCTGTTGCTCTCAGATTCCATCAAGAGAAGAGCCATCCATTCACCATTCACCTGGTTGATCGTGCCACACTCACATATTCCTTGGCACCATAGGAGAGTCGACTTTTATGGGAAAAATTATTCAGAAATATCGACTAGGTATCATTCCATCCTCGATTCCATCACTACCATTACGATCAGTGAGAGGTACTGTATTCTCGGCAACGGCAAGCCCAGTAAGCATATTGTCGATGTTGACCCTCCTATATAGGTCGCTACTTGCTTGGCTTTCTGACGAGAGGTTTTGATCATTTCACCACCCAACCACCTTTATCCCCAAATAAAGAGTCAAGAAAGTTTTCATATAAAATTTGACATTTATTGATTGAATGTAAAAAAACGTGGATAAATGCTTGCCACATGGCAGGTTAGCAAAGAAAAAAGAACATAATGGCTTGCCAAATGAAACACAACGCAAAACAACACTTAAAGAAACAGTACTTACATTACAACGTCTAGCATGGGATTGACCAGCAGGTCAATCCTGTCGGGGAGACGGCGAACATTCTCAATTGATTATTACTAATGACTTGTATTGATGATGAATGATGCCTTATCGACTCGGGTACTATTTATATTCGGAATCGATGCTAGGTTCGCAGTTTTCCGCAATGGGAGTGGCCGTTACCTTTCGACATTGATTACCTAGGTATTATCGCACGGTAAGCGGTTTTTTGCAAATTTTAAAGAAACTGACGTCGATGAACTCCGCTGACCTGATCGAAACTACAATGTATTGGATGTTTCAATTTGGAAAAGTTAATTTATGATAAAAGATCTCGAAATGAACGAGAGCTTGAGTGATGTTAATTGATAGGCATTTATACTTCTTGACACATATTATTATATCCTTTCGTCGTCAACTCTTTACCAGAACTAGTTTGTCTATAGAACGGCAAAGTATCGGAATTCTTTGCTAAAGGAAGTATTCCCAAGAACTTTCAAAAGTTGAAATACCTCCAAGAGCTCCTTCGATTATGAATACATACTTAATTACTTACCTACTGTTTAAAAATGACTCGAACCGACCTACCGACAGTTTCAAAAAATAATTGGTCTTTCATAGAATGGATGATAAGGCTCACAGTGCTCAAACACTGGTAATAATTCACTGACAATTCAATACAAACTAATACAAACGTGTATTCAATAGAAGTGTAAATATGTGCAGTTCAAATTGCTATAAACTGTCACGTCCTGTAATTTATTTTTTGAAGGATTATCTTCAATTAGAAAACAAGGTGAAGAACTCTGTGAAGAATCAGGCAACGCAAAACACATTATTGTTTGCATTAGTTATCAATAATGTTTTATATATAATTCGTTGTACTGTTTCTAATTGAATCATCATACTGAAAAAACTAAAAAAAATGTTATACTAACTGAGAGATTATCAGTTTCCAGTATTTTTATCATTTCATTCCAAAATGGCGACTAGTTGTCCACATTTTGAATAAAATGATGATGTTCATATGTGTGAATATGTTAATTCTTATAAATGCCATGCAATTTTGTATTCTTATCGCAACGTTTTTACATTTAAAATGTCAACGATAAGTCAGCTCTCTGCCTATTCGCGAAAATCACGAACCAATAGATGGCTCTATTAAACGTCAAATTAACGTCAAATTTCAAACTGAGTATGAACAACAAAAACATTGCAGTATGCACTCATTGCAAATTGGTTATTTCGAAATCATTTTGCAAAATAGTGCATAATAAGTTGACTTCTTGAAGTACGTACAAGGTTTCCAGTATGGAAAAAATTACTTTTTGTGCAGAGAAATTGCCATTTTGATGTGAACAATGGTGGTATTCATCATTGATATCACACTATAAGTCCACAGTTTTCAAACATATGGAATGGTCAAAATGGTCGGAATGGTCCACTCAACAATTGCATGGACTGCAAGGTATGAAGAAATAATTGAATTCATCAAGAAATATCACTGGCTTTTATGAAGGAAATGGAATTCTAGTGAAGGGGTTGGATAAAAAGATATGGTTGGAGAGGCTGCTCAGAATGAACAATATCATCGATTTACATGAACAAGGACCTCCAGCAATTGAGGACTTGAAGTTATTCTCAAGATCGAATCATTGCAACCAACATTTATACAATGATTCTAATTGTGCTTCAGAAAATGTATATTATATTATTATAAGGTAGGTATATACGGGTTTCTTCATTGTAAACAATAAAGGTTCCTGCAATAATTCGAGTTTTTTCATCAGGGAGAAATGAGGTTCTGGAATGTGCACTTCAACAAGTAAATTATTACCGAATAAAACACATATTTATGAAATTCAAAACAATGGTCGCCATATTTGTTGTTCATACTCGCAAGACTTGTACAGTTAGCCACCAGAGGCCGCACACTTCGTGATTTTCGCGAATACTCGTATATTTGATCATTGATATGATTTCGGGTAAGCTGAGTTTCGCTTTTATTTTTCAATTGAATCAAGAATGAACTCTCATTGTATTTCTTTAATGACAGGTGAGACAGTATATTATCATCAGATCTTATTTTGGATATTCAACAGATGTATAATTCGCAATGCTCTGTGTAGAATTGGCCCAGGAAATTGATGTTTTCTGTTGAAATTACTTTGGCATAAAATAATATTTGGGAAATAAGAAATTCGCAATTAAGAACTGGACTGGTTTTCCCTCGGGTATTTCTTGAATTTCATACCGTTTACAGTACACGGTATGAAATCTACCGATTAATCAAAACCTCTACACTTTTTAGAAAGTTTATATCTCACGCTATTTTCATACCGTGTGAATGCCTGCTCTGAGAAATGAACACCCGAAATAAGCGGGTTATAAATGAACCAAGATTAATAATTATATCAGTAGATCACAAGGCCCATTGTTATTTGAATAATACATAGCTTAGTTTTATATGTTATCAGCAGGATTGTGTGTCTTAAATATATGGAGGGCTACTATTTTAGGAAGAAAATCTGGTAATTTTTGAAAATACAAAAAGCTGATTCAAGACACTTATGGATTGGTGAACTTCGGTCACCAAAATGAAGATAATATAAATCTCACTCTTAGTTTCTCGTCACTTCCGTACTGGCTAGGTATATCTAGGAGTTTAATATTATAAGATCATTATTGTTCCTAACCTTCACATATTTCCGAGCATATTCTGTTCGGAATTGAATTACTTTTTGTGGCTCTCTTATCATTTTATATATGAGCCATTTTGTGATATTTTGTTTAATTTCCTGAATTCGGGCAATATCATTTATGTTCTCTTCTTCTTCTTCTTCTTTTCTGCACGGGTGGGCGAGTGGAAAAGCCCCTGCCCACAGGCCTCTTCTATCGGGCCCATTGTGTGCCCAAATTGTGAGCAGATGAGTCAGCTGGACATACCAATTTCTATAACGAAATTCAGCAGCTTCATCAGCTGAATCACTTTCGCATCCTTTGGGTGCAGTACAATGCTCCCAAAGGCAACTTTCCTCTGATGCACCAGTACGGCGCATTCAGCAAGTATGTGCGATGATGTTTCATCATCCTCCAAGGACCATCTGCAAATGATGGGATCATCTTTGATCCTCATGCATGAGCTCCTGGTACCTGTCGAGGTTGTAGTGTCCAATTAGGAGCAAAACAACCGTCTTGAGATCTCTTCTGTCATTCCCTTCACGCTTCCTTGCATAGACCCTATCATTTTAATCCATACATATCTGAAATTATGACCTAATAGTTCTCTTGCTTTTTTAAATGAAAACTTGGGACCTTTTGGAAAATCTTCATTGAAATAGATAATCCTTCATTCTCCTGGAATGCCACATTCTTAAGTATCCAAATTCTTCTTTGCTTTATGCAGATCAAGAGCTCTTCAACTCAAATCGACATTTTTGAAATTGACTAGTACAGGTTTGCTTGTTAATTTGCCAGAGAGAACTTGGAGCGTTAATGATTATCGTACTTGTTCCACTGTTGGAAGCAACTTCATGTCCAGTACACAGCTTCGCGGATGATAGTACCCTCCATACCGCCTTCTCTTCCAGGGCTCCAATACCAGCCATGCAAATCAGAAACGGAGGAGAAATGTTGACAACATAAATATGGACTTGGCAACAATTCTCGAATGGGGATCCCATAGCTTGGTGGATTTCAATGCAAACAAAACACAAGCATGCTTTTTCTCTAGAAAAGCCGATCTCACTGTGCCCAATATCAGCTTGTCAGGAATCTGAAGACATCCATTTCGATGCTTGGTATTACTATTAGCAATAACCTTTCTTGGGAAAATCACGTGGGATCAATTGCTAAAAGTGCATCCCGAAAACTTGGTTTTCTGTTCTTGGCCAGGAGCTATTTCACTTCCAGTCAGCGGCTTATGATCTGTAAGGCACAGATCCGACCTGTCCTGGAATACTGTTCCCATATTTGGAGTGCAGTACCCAAACATACCCTGAAACTGTTGGATTCTGTCCAAAAAAGGGCAATTCGTGCCCTGGGTGATGCCTCGCTCACAAACTCACTCACTTCTCTGGAGCACCGTAGAAAAGTTGGCGATATGGCTCTATTTTATAAATATTTTCATGGACGATGCTCTTCTGAAATATCAACAATCGTTGATGGCAGTCCCCGCGAGATTAACCGTTTACGATGAACCCGTCGAGTTGAGGCTTTGCACCCCTTCGTGGTCACTTTGGAGACCTGCAGAACATCTCTTTCCAAAGACTAGTTCTTCCAACGAACAGCGAGGCTCTGGAACACATTGCCAAAGAAGGTGTTCCCCGAGGCATATAGCCTCCAGAAATTTAAGAAGAACACCAATTTTGTAGTTTCAGGTATTAGTAAATAGTTTTTACTTGTGAAAATCATTCACCATATTATGTGGTTTTGAAAGATTCTTCGGAGGATGTGGGTAATACATAGTGTATTTTTTTTTTCAGGATCTAATTACAGCAAAGGGAAGAAGTAAAAAAAGGAAATTGATTATAACGTCAGTTATAGTGGCTGTTGCAGTAGCGTTAGTCATTGCAGCCGTGATATTATTATCCACAGGAAGTAAAGAAGAAAATAAAGTCACTCCATCAACAGCAGCAGCAGCTCTCACTTTGGACGATTTCTTGTATGGAAAGTTTCAACCAAAGAGTTTCAATGCCACGTGGACGTCAGGTAAAAGATGAATTATAATTTGAAAATCTAGTATACTGGCTGTTTTAATGTCTCATACAAAACGTCGTAAGCTGTAGTTTCGCTATTTCTTCATACTATCTCTAAAAAAAAAAACAAATTCGATGATTCTAATTTCTCTCAATATCATTAAATCATGTTGTTTTTCCTTTCATGATATTGACTAATCAGTTCTGTGATGGTTCAGTTTCAACGATATATTTATATAGTTTTTTCTGTGACGAGAAAAAAGTCTGAAATTTCATCTCTTTTGACATGTTTAATTATTTTTTTTCAATGGGAAAAAAGTGAGTACTTTTATCCCGGATATGTATAACATATATATACACTGTTGATGGCTTTTGTCATGCTACAGTTCCGAAAAATACGCCAATAACACCGTCTCCAAGAAAGAAGTCCTTTTACTTCTAAACAACCACTGAATTCGCAATTTTATAAAATCAAATCACAGAATTAGTGACAGATATTTGATGATGTTAAAAGAATGATAAAGATGCATGCAAAAGATTCCTGCAACGCAGGTTGACACCTGTTAAAAACTTCAAATTTCATGTCGTTAATTTCTGATTTTAATATAATGTAATATCTTCTCATTATTGTTTCGTCTTTTTTTCCTGTTACAGGAAAAAATAGTGTATTATACACGGGAAAAATATTAGATTTTAGTTTCAGCTTACGGTTTTTTGTCTCCCTCCGCTACGCCTCGGGAGACAACACAACCTGGAGCTAAAATCTACTACATGTTTCTCTTGTATGATAAATAACTATTATGTATGTATACCAGTAAACTGTTTTTTTTTTCTTCGATGATTAAGGTATACGCATACCAATGTCAACTAAACTATCATTCTACGACAATGAAGCATCTCTCATGGCTCACTCGATCATTTTGACAATAGTTTGAATTGAATCTATTCAAATTACATTTCATTTCGTGAAATCGGATACAAAATAGTGGATATACAGCATGCAGCGTTTTTTCTAAAAATACATTGGGACACATTAGACTAAAGGTTTAATAACTTTCTTTAAATTCTAGAGTAATAAATTTCGAATAATTCGAGGTACACACTACCGCAACTAACTACCCTTGATTTTTACTCAAGTTATCCAAGAATATCCTACACAATTTTCTACTTCACCTTTATCACTATGCAAATTGGTGAATTGCTTTAAAAGATTTATACATTTTCCTCACGTATTATCTAGGTTAGAGAATTTACGACTCGATTTCTTCCTGCATTTGTTGACATAGATAAAGTGTATGTGGAAGTATATTCGGAATAGTGAATGTTAGTATTCTGAATGAACACCAGTGAACACCGTTCGTCATGTCAACATAAATACCAACTACGTTCCCCAATATTCTATGCTTTTTGCTTTTTGAAGCAGACTAATCATGAACAAGCAGGACCTACGTCCATGAGCAGGACCGTTGCGGTTCTAATTTTGCCGCCCCAAAATTCTTCACTGAGTGGTTCATTAAGAATTATCAATCTCTGAACTTCAGATATTTAACACCAAAATATGAAGATTTAGCCCAACATGCCTTTTACAAATTTTAGGAGAGGGGAAAACATTTCTCAATAACTTTTGATCGATCATTTACTTGGGAATTCTGTTTATTGTTGGTTTTTTCAGTGATTGTCATTATTAATAACTGTATTTTATTTAGTATCGCTTCGTTAACTCCGCTAAAAAAGAGTATTTTCTATGTGAAATTGAACGGGCTTTCAGATTTCGACCTATTTCAACTATTATTCAAGGTACAAAGAAGATTTGATGTAATTTACTAAACTGACATGCACTTGATATCTCCACGGCATTTAATCGAGTCTGGCACCACGGACTCCTCGCCAAGCTTTCATCTTATGGCTTGTCTCCCCAGCTGTGTTCTCTGCTAGCTAGTTTTCTCTCAAACAGGTCTCTCCATATGTAGTGGTCGATGGAGTTTCATCTGACTCTCTCATCATAAATGCTGGTGTTCCGCAAGGATCATTCTAGCACCAACACTATTTCTACTCTATATCAGAGATTTGTTGGAAGCAACTTCATGTCCAGTACACAACTTTGCGGATGATAGTACCCTCCATATCGCCTTCTCTTACAGGGCTCCAATACCAGCCAGGCAAATCAGAAACGAACGAGGGAGAAATGTTGACAACATAAATATGGACTTGGCAACAATTCTCGAATGGAGATCCAATAACTTGCTAACTAGCTAGATTTCAATGCAAACAAAACACAAGCATGCCTTTTCCCTAGAAAAGTCGATCTCACTGTGCCCAACATAAGCTTGTCAGGAGTAACCATACCTTTGAAGACATCCATTTCGATGCTTGGTATTAACCTTTCTTGGTAAAATCACGTGAGATCAATTGCCAAAAGTGCATCCCAAAACTTGGTTTTCTGTATCGGGCCAGGAGCTATTTCACTTCCAGCCAGCTGCTTATGATCTATAACGCACAGATCCGACCTGTCTTGGAATACTGTTCTCATATTTAGAGTGCAGCACCCAAACCTACCCTGAAACTATTGGATTCTGTCCAAAAAAAGGACAATTCGTCTCGTGGGTAATGCCTCGCTCACAAACTCACTCACTTCTCTGGAACACCGTAGAAAAGTTGGGGATCTGGCTCTATTTTATAGATATCATCATGGACGACGCTCTTCTGAAATATCAACAATTGTTCCTTCCTTGGCAGTCCCCGCGGGATTAACCCGTCGAGTTGAGACTTCGCACCCCTTCGTGGTCACTTTGGAGACATGCAGAACATATCTTTCCAAACACTTCTTCATCCAACGAACAGCGAGGCTCTGGAACACATTGCCAAGGGAGGTGTTCCCCGAGGCATATAACCACCAGAAATTTAGGAAGAACACCAACTCCTACCTTATTTCCCTTGGTTCTCAAGATGTTCTCTGAACACTACAGGATATCCCTTTTATTCGTGGAACCTGAAAATCAGACGAATAGAGATACCTGTTGAAAAGTTATCCCCAAAAGATGTTTTTGCCAAATCTCATAATTCACCCTATATATTGGTGAAGAAGAAAAGAATACACTTTCTGATGGTCATTGAAGACATCATCCTCAAGGGCCTCTATTCGTGGCTCATGACTCACCCTGTATATGTATGGACGAAGATAGTACCTACCTACATTTTGTGCCGATTTTGTGCTGCTCGATATCACTTGCGGAATCTGAACTTGAATCTGACATTTTGCACTAATGAAGATATCAAACGATTCTTTTTCGTGAATTTCGTCGAAAATCAGACGAATCGAGGTAGCTGTTCAAGCTGAAGAAGAAACTTTTAAGGGGCCTCTATTCGAAGTAGGAGTATCTACAGTTCCTCATGACTCACCCTGTATATATTTATTATAAGTAACTGGTATCGAAATGAACATTTCATCACCAGTTACGTAATATTTTACTTTACACAACTGTTTACGTAAAGTAAGACGTTACAAAACTTTCGTCAGTTTTGAAAAATGTCAAATTAGGGGAAATGTGCCTGTGTTGGCATACCTGACGAGTTGGCATATTGGTACTTTCTCAGCTTCTAAAAACTTTGCGGCGCAATTAACCTTCTCCTTCTGTTTACTTATTGTGTGCAAGCCGGTAAACGTGTTTGTGGCTACTTCCGACAATAAATAAAAAAGTTTATGACAATTTTGGTTTTTTGAAGGTAAGAAATGTTTAATTTACTCTTATAACTTGCTGCAAAACATGAACATCCAATATCTTTTTGAATTCCAACAAACGTAAATCGATTTTGTGAACCTAACCTCGAAATTCTACGGTATAACCGTTGCTATGTTGTAACTAGTTGTGAGTAAATAGGTCTTATTTTTTGAAAAGCGTTTTCGGGCGAGTTGGCATACTGTTGATTCGGGCTAGTTGGCATAGTATGCCAACTCGCCCTTACGTAACAAAATCAATAAGTTATTTTGTTGTTGCAGATTTAAGTAAACATGGTAGTAGTCCCTATTCTTTTCAAACTTAACTTTTTTCATTAATAATATTTGTTTTTCATATTTTTGGGTTCTGTTTATTTTAGTTTTAGGTATTTATCATTGTACCTGACTGTATAAGTTATGCGTTACATTTCCGTTATATTATTTATTGAATGAACTTTGACAATGACATCTCATTTAATATTCATTCACTTCAAGTAGGTCCAGTTTGGGCAAGATGGCATACCATGCCATCTTACCCGGAATATTCAGCCCGAGATGGCATAGCGAGGTGATTAAAAAAATATATATACTCAACCTAAAAACACAGTTAGGGTTCTATTAATTTTTGTTGTTGTTAGGCTAGGTATTTTCCTATTCAACTACCAAGTTTCAGCCCGTAAAACTCAAAAATAACTTGAAGAAAAAAAATATTTACAAAATGTATGCCAACTCAGGCACATTTCCCCTACATGCCTGTAAAAATTACAAATGGAACACAATGTATTTCACTTTCCTATCCTAACTTTTTGAAAGCTTTCAAGATTCTTTGTAATTTGAAATAAAGAAATTACGGACCTCTTGCCCTCACTGTATACATGATCCAAACAAAAATATTAGCAACAGGGTGTCCCATATTTATCGTGCAATACTAAAAACAAGAAAAAAAAATCTCTGGAAAAGGTTTTTCATCTCTATTTTCGAAACAGTTGGAGATGAAAATGGAATTTTTGTACGTTCACCTCACTTTTTATGTTGGATCCAAATATTTCAACGAACTTTGAAATTCTTATTCAGAAGTGTATTGAACGCAGTTACAGTATATGTGGCGTAAATTCGACTATATAGTATACTAGACTACATTTTTAATATTGTGATCATTTCTCCTGAATTATATTCAGAGACATAAAGCAACGATTTTTAAAATAATGAGCAGTTAGCAGTATCTATTTTCCGACCAATTATTTTGATTGAAAACATTCCTCAGTATACGCATATAAGCACTTCGTGTTAGCGATTTC